CCCCCCCCCCCCCCCCCCTTCCCCCTACACACACATTTTTTGCAACCTACATAGCAAGAGGGTTTGAAATTTCGTGAAAAAGTGCTATTTAACCTTTTGTCGAATAATAGAATTTAAAAATCATTTCGTTCGTCAGAGTGGTTAGTTTTATGCATAATGTTTTGCTGAGAACCATTGTTAAGAAATATTGTCTTCATTGCATGTGGAAATTTGCCACGTTAAAAGTTTTCATGTGTTTAGGTTTAATTGTAAGTCAGTACATTTTTTGATCTTGATGTAGTTTAGTTGAAAAAGAGTCAAACTAAAACACAATCTTGGTGATAGTCAGGTTCCAAATACAATGTATCTATTTATACAATGGCTAGACGTAACTTGTTTAACAAGTTTAATTTAATTAGAAATAATTCCAATTTAACAAACTTTACTTTAACATACCCAGTCAATTTTCTTTTAACATGAACGTTGAAATGGAGATGAAAGCTAATATGCGTGTATTGATGTTTTAATTTTGGAAGGTGGCATTGCCAAATCACTTGTCTGATACTAGAAACTGCTTAGAAATGTCGTTGTTTCATAGTATCCTAATTAATTTAACTGCTATCCACCCTGATTTCGAGTAAAATGGTTTGAAGCTAATTAGTTTGAAGATGGATAACGCCATTAACAGACAATCCGACCTGCACCACTGAAAAGGGGAGCCGATTGAAACTCCGAGACTATCTCATCCAATTCTGAGGTGGAACTCGAATCCAGGTTGGCGAGTATGCGTCTGACGTAGGTACTGAGCTGCAATTCTGAAGATTATTCTCACCTCGTAAAAGTAATTTCGAATATTCTCTTTGGGATTGTGTTTTCGGACCAGATTCCCGAAGAAAGCCACTTTACTTGATCCTCACGAAGAGATCAGGTGGTATAAAGATGGTAGGCAACTTTTCAATACGATTATCCCAAGCATGAATGATACAAATCTGACGTGTAGAATCTGAAAGGAAGAAGATACAGATCTTCTATTGCAGTTCATTTCTTCAACAAATTGAGATTGTCTTTTAGGTTTCCAGTATCGATATTGCAGTATCCATTTGTGAAAGCAAATTCTTATTTTCTAATCAAATTTTAATCTATAGGCATTTTATACTGACTTGTGAAAAATTAGATTTATAAACTGCACTTGGGCATAATCTTATTCCAGGGTCTTTGTAAAATTTTGTCGTAGAAAATTAAATAATGACATTTTCTGTCACAAATTATTTGAAATAAAATCTAATGAAGAATGGTAAAGTGACGTGTATAAAAATTAAATTTCAGTCTCAAAAAGTACCTCCAACACATTTCCTCTATCAGTTTCAAATTAAGTTAAGATTCAGAAATTTTCAGTTATGAACATGAAATGTTATGAACTCATGTTGAAAATGATAAGCCATTCAAGGTAAAAATTAAAGCATTTCTTTTGCTCTATAGCAATCCTAAGATTTATTTCCAGAATCTGTTAACCTAAAAGACTCATTTTCATCTGATGAGACACCTGTAAATTATGTTGAAACGTTACATGCTTTGTTGTTAAAGAAGTGTGCTATACCATAATATATCCTTTTGTGGTTTATTTTTGTTAGATCTTAAAAGGTTAACTTTTGCCTTCAGGAAACAGACAAATTCTTTCAGGTGTAAAAATATAACTTACTCATGTCACCTTTGGTTAGGAATTTAATGATTTTCATTGAGAATTTTTAGTGCTTTAAGAGAAATGGTTGTCTCTGTATTTGCTATATAGGTTTATATGGTTTTTTGTTTGATTTCATTGGAAACCATACTGGATTCAAATTCTGAAAAGCTGTTAAAGATGTACATCTACCAATTTTTTAATTTCTGGACAAAATATGAATGACAATGAATTTTTCTGAAAATGGTGAAAAATTTGATAAATTATCATTTACAATAATTACAGGAATAGTTTTACTAGGTCAAAATATTAAGGACAAAGGTCTTAACTTTAACCCATGAATGACAAGGGGTTCTTTTCCTAGGTCACATGATATCTTTATTAGAGAAATGGTATCATATCAGTTTGTTTAAGTTTAAGATATACTATCTCTTAAGATGACCAAAAAATTGAAAATTTTTAAACTTGGCCAATATTAATCTTTGTTCATCAGTAGATTTACCTGGTGTCATAACTATACAACAGAAACTCTCTATAATCTAATAAATCTATAAAACTAAGTAATAATCCGTTAAATTAAATAATTTTGAAACATGCTTATTAGTTTAATGAATATATTGTCTTATATAGAGATTCTAGTCATGGCACCAAAACATAAATGAAAATTAACAAGTTACATAATTTATTTGCATGTGTCCACTTCACAGAGCCGTTTACATAATATATTAAAACAATAAATAACAAGATTACTTTAAGCTATTACAAAATAAATTCAACAATTTGTTAATTAAAAATAGTTAAAATAAATGAAGTTCTCAATAGAATAAATACATACACAGTAAATAATGTTAATAATCTTATATACTACAGTGTCTAATTTAGGACTTAATAATTCAAGGTAATCGGTTGGTGTCTTCAATCTGAATCTCAGTTGTTCCATTTCAAATAGAGGAACATAAGTCCTAAATCATACACTGTCAAATATGTTGTAGAATTTATAAGCAAGGCAACAATTGCATACAGGTTAAAACATAATAAGAAAATGTTAAAAATTTCTTGCTGAGTTTTAAATGGCTAAAAGCAAGCAGATGTAAATGATTTTTAACATGTTAATGCTTTAAATTGGTTCAAGCACCAAAATATCCCTAAGAGCTATTACCAAATTTCTAAATATTTGCTCTATCTAGTATCTAGTTCATGTGCTTATTTTATAAAGTTTTGGAATGTGCTTATTATATAATAAACAAGTAAAATCTAATAAGCTAAGAACAATTATAGTTTGGAAGTTTATATCACAATCAACCCCGGGTATATAAGACTGATAGCACACTGCATTGACCCCAATATTCTCAGAAATTAAGCATAATAAATGGAACTGCACTGAGACTCTTGGCATTATAAAATTTTGCTCAAAGCACCTTGGCATACCACTCACCTAGACCCATGCATGCATATAAAGCAGGCCAGAAATTTTGTGTGCTTAAAGATTCAACACATCGATACAGTCAAGCACACAGTTTAATAATAAATTAATATTATATATTGAAAGCACATATTTGATAATTGCTATACCCAACAGCTTCGAATAGAACTCCATTAAATAATTTTAAATATGGCAGGATCCATCTATGGAGATCAACTTTCTGTGTTGAGTTTTCACTGATATATAACACACAGTGATGTGCATGTGTAATATGTGCACACAATTAATATATGTGTTAGTGAAAATAACCATGTATTGTGTTGTCAAGTGTGTGGGCAGGGTCCATATTAAAACACATTTCTCACGAATACATTACTAAAGCACAATGTGCACATTTTTTTTTTTAAATATCTATCATTCCTGAATTGCCTTCTAGGCTATGGGACTAAGTGGTAAACCTTTTGCTCAGAATCACTACTTCCAATCAGGTACCATTCTAAAAGTATTCCACACAACACTGTCCTAGTCTAGTCATCATACTCGTTAGTTAGAAAATGATAAATAAAGGCAGCTCTCTTGTCATCTTCCATTCTTCTTGCTTGTTTTGCATGAGCATCACTCTTTAACCTTGGATCTGTTAATGGTTTTGGTGGACGTAAAAATACCTCCCCAAACATTGATGCTGTAACGAGAAATAATAACACTTGAACATTATATTATAAACTTACATATCATATGCATACAGCCTAATACTTGATTTTCCATTGCTTATATCTCCCAACTTCACATTAGATGCTTTCACTCATGAAGCTGGGAAGTATGAAGTTGCATACATATCTCATGGAATCACAAAGATTAGGTCCTGATGGTTATAGAATCAGATAGTGTCTAGAAGCATCTTTGTCAATATCCAGAATATGCCAGAATTATCTTATTGGAAATACATGTTTGCCTTAGAAATTTATGTTGTTTTCAAATCCACTACTGTATTTCATTTAATTGCAGAAGAACTTGAAGTATAATTTTCAATCTGAAAAGTGATATGGATAGCTGAAATTTAACTATTTTAACCAATCATACAAAGACAATAGGATCATTTTCAGTCTGAAGTTATATGAGAAGATGGTCTAACAATTGATATTGATAAAGTAAAGGATAAAGAAGTATAATTATTAGAATAATGAAGAATTAGATTACTGTAATACTACAATAAATCTGCCAGTATTATTTCATTCCTTCATTTCTTTCTTCTTCTTATTTTACTCTATCAGATCAATCTAAATCATTATCTTATTCTCTATTTACATAATCATCTATAACTACCCTAGAAAACTGTTATTTTATGTGCAAATACCCCACTACTTGTCAATCATTTCTGATCTTTTTGCATTTTGTTTTATTTAATGATATCCTATTAGTGATAGGGTTAACACCAAGCTAGCTTCCAAAAGCATTGTTAAGGAATCATCCATAACTACCCAAGAAAACTGTTTTTTTTTTATGTGAAAATACCCCTTGTCAATCATTTCTGATTTTTTGGATATTGTTTTACTTTACTAAAAATAAAGTATTCTTAAAGTAATAAAAAATTAACACCCATCTGGCTTCAAAATTTAGACCAATCTTTCATTCCCTTTTTTTAAAGATATAGCCACTTCAGTTAGGGTCAAAGACTGTAGCTTCCAACAGCATTGGCTGGGATATCCTCATTAACTACTAGAAAAATCTTAGTATTCTATGTGCAAAAAACTATACTTTTATTTAATCAATGGTATCATTAGAGTGATGAATCCTAAAAAAAAAACATAACTTAGACACTTTCGACAAAATCTGAAATCTTGCTGAAACACATCTGTATCACAAATACAAGAACTTATAATATGACCTATGTGCTTAAGAGTAAGACAAGCAATTTTACAGAAAATGCACTTAAAATGACCCAAGTTTTTGAAAGAAATTGCCCCATGTAAATTCCAATATTTATGTAATGTAAAATCACAAGACAGTCTTAGACTAACATTACTAGAATTAAGTTGTATTAACTGAAAAAATGAAATCAGAGTGACAAGAGAGTAGGTCAAGATACATTTTGTGTTCATTTTTGAATTATCTAACAATAATATGTATAATAGAAACATAAAAAAACTTTATGTTGAAAATTGAATCTATTATAATTTCACTTAGTTACTCAGACAACTTTTCCTGAGGCCAGTTACAGCCTATTTTAATGCTCTATCTTTCAATAATTAAAAGACTTTTCATTTCAGAAAACATCCATACAATAGAAACTAAAATTAATTCCAAAGATTTCTTTAAGGCAAATTATTTCAAATTAATGTAAATGGACAGTTAATTTTTTAAATTTGCAGTTTTGATTATTTCATAGAAACTAAAAAGCCCTTCAAAAATATCTTATTTATAATGAAACACTTGGTAGATTAAAACGAAGCCAAACAACACAATTAAAACTGTGGTATATTCTTTTTTTTTTTTTTATGTTCATGTTTGCAAACTTATACTTTGATCTGATCAAAAGGGTCTAACTATGACAAGTAAGGAGGACTCACATGGAGAAAGTTGCTTGTATGATTACACCATGGATGGATATAAGTAGGGTCTTTTCTCTAAGAGGCAAAAACATGGGCAAAGGGATTGGATGCATGTAGACTTCAAACATTAATCACCTTTACCCTAGATATCAAATAAGTGATATATTTAGTAGATATCATGATATATTCTTATTTTCTTTCACCCAATATTAAACATTTGCCTCATTTGCATAGTTGTAGTTACTACACCTTTTAATAATATCCTAACAGAACAACAGTAAAATATTGACACCATTCTCTCTTACAAAATGTCATATCAACATTCAATATTTGTTTAAAGAACATTGCATGGTCTATGGGTCACTTTACACAAAAATTAGTTGAATTATAGAACATTATAGGATTCAAAATATTAAAACAAAGCTATTCTTTGGAGAATGAGAATAATTGACACAACATGAAAAATCACTCAACATAGTAAATATAGAGTTCATGGAATAGAATAGGAATATTGTTCTGTATATTTGAATTGTTGATTAAACCATATAATAATACATGTAGCACATTATGTCATAATAATATAGGCCACATATACTGTTATATACCAGGATATAATACTTTCACAATATCTGCCTGAGGATGTAGGAGCGAAGGCTGAAAAGGAGTTCTGGAATTTAAGTGTACCTGTAAGTTCACTAGTTGGACATTTTGTAGTATATTTCAGCTGTATGGTATGATTTTATACATATCCTAGCAGAAGTCACGACTGAATTTTCACTTATTTGAGATTTTCATCTTCGTAGTGTATTTTAAAGAGGGCAACATAGTCATGACCCCCCCTCCCCCCCCCCATACCCCACCTGGGGGTCCTGTGATAGGTCTTATTTTGAAGTGAAAATCAATCCCTCTAAATAAAATGTTCAAAAGTCCTCTCAGGCATAATTATGTGGCAATTAAGTCACATATATTTGCATACACTAAAAACACTAACTGCTACTATTCTGTATCTTTACCCAAATCAAGATCTATCTAAAACAGTTATGCCTAACATTAAGTCTTATTATATTGTATTATTAAGTGATTTTATCTTATGTGAGTTTGATGTGATTATAATTAGTCATTTAGTTTTCTTATTTCTTAGTCTGAAACATGCACCATTTTGTGATCACAACTTGTAAAGCCAAGTCTCTTGATATTTGTTTCATTTATATTCTTAGAGCTACAATAGTCATTCCAGATCTGACATCAGTTGAAAAACACTCATCTAAATGTAAGAAATTAACCTACAATTTATTATAGTCAGTTGTGATTTAGCTGATATTAAGCTTTTGATTAGTTTAATATGCAGCCTTGACTTTTGTATAGATATCTTTAGATTAGAATGAGTTTGGCAACCCACAAAAGGAATGAAATATCTTGCTGTACATTTTACAGATTGTGAACTATAATTCCATAATCCTGATTTTCCGAAAAATCTAGGAAATCTAGTTAAATCTAGATATTTATTATTATGCTTGACACATTATCAACAGCAAATAAAACACATAAGACAGAGTTTCAGACTATATTATTAGAATCAATACTGGATTCTATCAAGGTGTAACAAAGAATATGTCTATTAATTGATAAAATGGAACTTATTTGTTCGTCATTGATTTCTAACTACTTGAATTATAATATCACTTTCTTATGTACTTAATCAACTCTTATAACTATTATAGATAAAAAATGGCCATAGAAAAGCTAAAAACAGAACAAACTGCATGAAAGCTAATCGTCATATCAATTTCCTATCAATAATATGTGTCAATTTCCGCAAACAATATGCTGATTTAGTAAAGAAAGTGCCTGCAAACTCTTATTGTCATATGGATACAATAGTAAAGTAGTTAAGACAATTTATATACCAGACTATGTAGTAATATATTATACTAGATACCAGTACCATATATAATATATACCAGTAGTATATAATATATACCAGATACCAGTAACATATAATATATACCACATACCAGTAGCATATAATATATACCAGATATCAGTAGTAGTATAATATATACCAGATACCAGTACCATATACAATATATACCAGATACCAGTACCATATACAATATATACCAGATACCAGTAGCATATTATATATACACCAGACACCAGTAGCATATAATATATACCAGATATCAGTAGCATATAATATATACCAGATACCAGACTTACCATATAATATATACCAGTACCATATAATGTTAAGTTTTTTGCCCACAATATAATGAATTGATTTAAGTGTTCTTCATTGAAGAATGTCACATATTAATGTATTAAAGGTATCTGATTATCCAACAATTGAAGAATATCAGAAACAAATGTACCGTACCTAAGTAGCGCATGAAAGTCTTTTATTTCAAAACTGGCAACAATCTGGTCAGCACTACATTTTTACTTCTGCACATTGGTTCTTGACAGGATGTCAACTGTGTGCCATTATTAAAAGGGTAGTAAAAAAATGAAATGAGACATAGTTGCCATTTGTCAGTCTAAGTACCAGACAATGAATGTTTATGATAATTATAGGGAGATAATAAATGGTTAAATGTATGATAGAGGTTACATGATTAAATATCAGAAGATAATTACATCATCAGACAGTGTCATTATTAGTGGTGGAAAACAACATTTATTCCAACCTATATATAGTGTCACATCATAATAATTTACTATTCTATTATTAAATGTAGAAATTTCTTAGTACTGGATTATTCAATGTATATTGAAGCATTTTAAATTCATCAAATTGTAGATGAATAATAAAGTGCCTTTTTCAAGAGTAACTGTTTCTCAGGGCAGTGTGCAAATTGTGAAAATCATAATCGTTATAAAGCAAACAAGAACTATTCCATTTACAGTCTAATTAAAACTAGACCAAACTTTTGTTCCGTTATTTTATTGGCTTTTATTTTCAATATAGACACTTCAATTAGGGTCTCATGACTGGCATCTTGAACATTCATCAAATCATTATGACAAATTGTGTGATAGCACAAACCAAAGAAACTGTCATTTTGCTCTAGTTTAGGTTTTACTATTCCATAATTTGTCATTGTTAATAAGAAATTGCTTCTACATGACATGCTTTAATTGGTTAGAAATAACATCATTAGAATATAACTGTGGTAAAAACTTCTTATGAGTACACCGGAAATGAGAATCAGATTGCCTTTACCAGGTTATTGTTTTATTTACTTCCACCAAAATATTGAACTGTTTTCTGCATTGAGTAATAATAAAAAACTTCTGCATGTGAAATGATGCATTGTTCATTTAATGTTAATAATATCTAATTGAATAGCGCCTGTTTGGTATCAAAATATCAATGATTCTAAAACTCTTGAAAAAAAATATTTCTTTCATTTTTCATACAATTGGTAGAGAATAATGTGACTGTAATTTTGAGAGTATTATGAATAAATTTGATATAATGAAGTAATAGATGGAGATCAATATTATAAGAAGTTTTGAGAATTTCTATAATCATCTTCACAATATCAAGCTATAACTTCATCTTATACTTAGACTGCAATAGTCACCTTTCTTTTATCATGGAAGTTTGTCAATGGTGCAATTTGATTGGATTGTACACTACCAAATATAGCCAATGAGAGCTCTGTAAACCATAAACAGTCTTTATGTCTGTATTCTCTTGGGTACAATCCAATCAAATTGTTCTGGGTGATACTAGAAAATTGCCTATTGCAGTCAAGGTATAAGAAGAAGTTTATAATAGCTTGACAATGTGAAGATGTTCTATAATTGACAGGCTTCCAATATTACACAATATCAAATTTTATTAGACTAAAGAATGTCATTTAAAAGATTGAAATAACTCAATAATGAATTTGTTACCCAATAAGAGTGTTACAATTTTTCAGACCTAGATAACAGGAACATTATTTTTCAAGGAAACTGTTTTATCATTTTATCATATTTTTTTCATATTTTCATATTTTTATCATATTATCAATTTCTTTTTTTCACCCCAAGTCTTATTCATAAACATTCATGGTTAACTGAAAGCTGAGTTTACAAATCTAAGTGGCATCAAGTGTTCTCTGTATGCTTGCCACTCTATCTGATCTATTTCTCATGAATTTAAGTGGGTTTACAGTACAAAGTTCATGTATATGCTAGAGATCCCCTGAGAACTAAAAATCAAATGCAATAAAACAATATTTTGTATTATGATTGATCATGCTATTCAGGTTTAACTACATGTATATGAACTATTAAACCTTTTCGAATATTCAAACAATTTAAATCTTTGGCACGAAACAGTCTGAATGAAACCTCTTTCATCTTTATTAAATCTAGTTAACAAAATTTGCATCAATTTAAGAGAAATTATATTTGTAAATAGTCTTTGAACAAGTTACAATTATTGGCTGAATTCATGCAGTGCCTGAGTCAACATGCTAAAAATCGGTAAATAAACTGAATAATTCTGCACTTGAAGTGCGTCAGAAAAAATTGTCAGGCAACTTCAACAAAATATTCTGGTTGATCGTTTTGAAGAGGATAGTCAATAGAATTATCAAATTCTAATCAATTGTCATAATACTTCAAACCTTTTTAACTCTTAAACATTATTAAGTTAACCTTTGACCTTTCATCAATAACCTCCTACCTTATTGATGCAATTTATTTGAACCAATCATTATCTAATAATCAGAAACTCAACAGTGATTGGACGTAGTCAGAACAAACATAGTACTATTGATAAGACGTTTCAATGAATATATTAACTTGGATCAGATAGTAACATAATGTATAGAAGTACTATTGAGTATCTTACCCCAATAACTCTGATAGTGGTAGAATGGTAGTTTACAGACACTAAATAACATACTTTCAATAGGTTTGTACTCCACATTCACTGTTGATAAGAACTAATCATTTCTTATCTTGATATATAAGAACTTTTCTAATATCAAAATCTTTTATTTCAGTCTTTCATAGTAGGACAACTTAGTTTCTCTATAGTTAGCATACAGACAGTCAAACATTTACATTGTGGAATCCAACTTTGTATCGAGTTTGACGGTTCCCCTTAAGGATATTTTTAAAGATAGCTTGCCCGGCAAGATAATATACGCCCAATGTCAGCTTTGATTTTAAACAAATACACTTGGTAGTACAGTAACAACCATCAGTATGAAATATTCAACCTTCAGTCATACATTTCTTTTGGAACTTTTTAAGGTGATAATGAACAACATTACCAAGTTTTGCCAAAATCTGGCAAGGCTTGTGCCTTTTAGTGCTTACGAACTAAAAATTGAATGCGTTTTCAAGAATGAGAGAAAGAATATATTTATCTGTTAATAGGGTTCATTCTTTGGTTATCACAAACACTCACATCAAGTTTCATCAAAACCCATAGAGAATTGTTCTTTCTAGAATGGTTTTTATGCTATGAAACATTATTACAATATTTCTGACAAGTCTTGAGCAACTATTTAAAAAGTTGACAATACCAGTCAATTCAAAATATTTACTTACCTAAAAATTTTACATCTAAATTATTATCTTCACTATATTTTAACAATTCTCGAAGAAAAGCACATAAATATTTAAAAACATTCCGATGAAAGTCTGGTATGGATAGGAGTGTCTGAAAGAGTAATGAATAAAAAAATTCATTAAGAAATGAATGTTCAGCATCATTCATTCAGTTCATTACAAGATATGGATCATTACCTTTCTCTTCAAGATAACTCATGTTTTACTGTTAATATGATGTTTTATGTTATTCTAACCCTAGAGACACGACATTTAAAAATACACTTAGATTAAACTGTTATGTAATGATGATAAATGATCAAAGTTTAATATATAATGACCCCCTATAGTATATGATTATAATTAAACTTAGTTTCTATTTCTTCAAATCACCAAAAACAACTATAAGAGAATGACAAGAAAACAATTTGCTTTAGCATAAGAAAACAATCTTTTAAAGCTTGAATAATTTTGTGATAATACTATTAATGGAATATCTCATTTTCTATTCCTATTAATCAGACAATTGGAAGAATTTTTTCTATTTTAATATACTCATGATGTATCTTTTAGCATTGGTTTGCATAAAATAATCTCTTCATCTAAATCACTTCCAGATGAGATTCAACCTTGGACTTCAAGATGAAACTTAACCTAGGACATCTAGATGAGATTCAACCTTGGACTTCCAGATGAGATTCAACCATGGACTTCAAGATGAAACTTAACCTAGGACATCCAGATGAGATTCAACCATTGACTTCCAGATGAGATTCAACATTGGAATTCAAGATAAAACTTAACCTAGGACTTCCAGATGAGATTCAACCTTGGACTTCCAGATGAGATTCAACCATGGACTTCCTTCAGAAATATTTTGGCATCTTTGTATGTATTTACTTACCTGTTTACTAAGAAGATAATTATTGGAGGTATCTAGACATTTATAATAAGCTATACTAGGTATGACCGATTCTGGTAATGCTTCCAGGAATAATAGTAAAGACTCTGCTACAGAATGGATACTTCCAGCTAGGTTATGTTAAGGATACCAGTACAATAACTCGCAGGGTGGAAGTATAAGATCAGAGAACAATTCTTTACATAGCTTCAAATTCATCCCATATCCTCCCTTTTTATCCAAAATAGTTTACAAACTGATTCACAATCATTGATATACTAATTGACAATCAAGTATTAAGAAAAGTCTGACCAAACTCAGTGTTTTATGACGTCACTGAGGCAAAGGCTCTTATATTTTATTACTAGCTTTTGGTATAGTCTTAAAACGCTAAGTTTAAGTTGAATATGTCAATATGAGAATGGTGCAAATCAATGTTTTCAGTATCCCAAATACACATAAAAAGTTTAGAATTCCACTTTACAGCACCTTTTAGCACAAATCTTACTGTATATAAACACTTTAATGAGGAGCAGCAACAAAATGCATCCAGGAGATAACAATGCATGTTCTTTTACAAAACTATACCTATGTTATAACAATCACATCAAAATGCCAGGCTCATAATATTGGAGTTTTCATCAAAAGGATACGCAGGGTTTCTGGTATACCAGTGTCTAAACATTCTCGTATTTGTTGTATCTCAGAATTTAAACCTGGTTGTTGAAATAAACTCTCCTGAAGAATATATAAGACAATTAAAGGGAAATAACTGTCATTGTATAATATTTCATTTACCCAATGGAAATATAACGCAAAACGTTTTCATTATACAGCAGACTATTGTCAATTTGACGTATTCCACTAGGGCAGTTTGAATCAATGGTGTATATTGATAAGATAATTATCTACACTCACGTAACTGGCCTGATCAAGACATGCCAACTCATTAGAACTGTATTCTGTAGAAAGTTATATGTCCTACCATTCTGTTTTGAGCTACTGAGGCTCTCAGTCTATTATTGTCAAATATCATATAAATTTGGGTATTAAAATTATATAATGGTAGAAACTTTTCTTAAAACCTCTTTCAATAATGATATAACCATTACATACCTCCTTTAAACCATGTAAATGTATATGATTGACCATTCGAAATATTTCTTTAGGTACCATATATAATCTACCACCAGTAAATGTAACATCAAAATTATCTAAACTGCCATGCTGTTCCTATACAATAAAATATACAAATCAATCAAGAAGTTTGTCTTATAATGTCAGAACACATCTATTGTGAAAGAAAAACTGTTCATTAAATCATTATGTACCCAATTCCGCTTCCCTCACTTCATAAAAACACATTTAGTAGCAGTAAAAATGTAGTCTAAAAAGATAACATAAATTGGTGACACATCATTATACCATTTAATATATGTATCATCACAATTGTGGTAAAAATCAAAGTATATCAAATACATGACATGTATACATTGGAGACACATCATCATATCATTTAATATGTACGTATATACTGTATTATTGCAATTGCACTACTTATAACATTATCAAACAAGTCAAAGTATATCAAATATATGAAATATCAGAAGAGGTTGTATCGGATGAGCTAGGATTATATATGAATAATTTGCTAGAGTAGTGATTAAGCAATGTGATTGATTTGTGAGGTAAACATTGTAACTAAGGTAAACATCAAGGATCAGCAACAAAATTTATAAAGAAATGATAATTGTGTTTGGAATTTTGCAAAACTGACTTTAAAAGTTTTGCATAATAAGAAATTGCGTTTAAGAGATTGCAAAAAAAAAACGTGTTAATTAAAAAAAATTTGACAAAGATAGGTTCAGTGAAAAATAGGTTAAGTAAAAAAAAAATGACTATTGTAACAATGTCTGTATTAAAGATAAAATTTCAAAGAGATTACTAAAATATAAATTGAGTTTTATAAGAAATTTGAACAAAGGCACATATTGTTTAATAAATAATTCATTTGAAAATGTGTTCACTGAAATATTTGCTTGAACTTAAAACTCAATAAAAATACAGCAAAATTGAAACAGATCAACAAAAACAGGGAAAATACATTGAAAGCTTAACATGAACATCAAGATGAACATTTTCAAAAAATTGAACATATCATAACATGAACATATACTATTTATGATACATTCTAATCCCTTTTAAGTTGTATTAGCTTATCCCATAACCAATATTACTATTACTAATTCACATTGTTATTAGTTGTCCCAATATTATCTCACGGTCAAATACAATAATGAAAGCTAAACAATAAAAACAATTTTTAATTTACATCAATTTATTTCTATTTTAATGCCTCAAAGATAAACAAGTCAGTTTTCAACACTCAACCCTTGATATGCTCTTTGTAAAACCTACTACATGTTTAAATTGAACAATGAGGTTGAAACTCAATAAATAAGCACTATATAGACTTGCTGGATCAAGGGACAGATGATGAAACTGACTCATTAACCATTGGGATATCAATATGACTTATCCCAAAACCATTATTAATAATCCTATTTCTACAGGTTCACATTGTTATTACTTATCCCAATTTCATCACATACAGTACAACAACAATATACAATTACCTTTAAAATAGCAGCCTTTTGTTTCTGGAAGAAAGTGAATATACTATATATATGAACATGCATGTAATATGGTTACCAAAATAAAAGTGAACAATACTGAAGTATGAGTGATATAATATGTGCTCTAATGCATTAAATATTAAAATATGAATTCAACTTACTATTTCTACTAATTTAGGTATATCTAATTCTCGAATTGGTCCATGCATCTGTATTAAAGCTTCTATTGATGAACCAAAGGAACTAGGTAAATAATTCCCAGTTACAGGAACTTGCAGTTTAGTTAAGGAATAAATCATTATCATTAAACATTGTGGAAAGTCTTGTCGCATCTGTTGTTTTTTTTTTTTAAGAATTTTCCCACAAACAGTAATAATCGACAAAATTGGAAATAATTTCAAATAAATATATTACTAGAAATGACAAGTAAATCTGTTGAATTGCACAAGAACAAGACACTAGATTTCATTTCTGGAAAATGCTATGGAAAGCTGAAATTGAACTCTTTTTCTTTTTTGTAAAAAATTTGGATGATTACATCCCTTTGAGTTGAATTCTGTCATTTGATAAAGGATATGAAGAAATCTTTACCACCATGTAAATGTAAAACTAAAATATCATCTAATGTATCATCTTTACTGTTTAATTTAGCAGCTGATGCTTTCTCTACATATATATCTATCTGAATATTTAATATCTCATCTACAAATAAAACACAGATAGTTAACCCTGTCATGTCAGAAAATAAATTCCATGTAACAAAAAACTTAAGCTTGTTATGTGATGTCACTTGATAACAACTGATATTAATTCTATGGTAGTGTAGCAGCTTCTAGTGTACCTAGGGTTAAATATATTTCTATGAAATGAACTTTTGTGTTTGCTCATTTGCTTCACAACTTATTAGAATCAAGTTATTAGAATCACCTGAATCAACTTATTAGAATCATTTTATTAGAATCATCTTATTAGAATCACCTTATTAGAATCATCTTATTAGAATCACCTTATCGAATCATCTTATTAGAATCACATTATTAGGATCACATTTTTAGAATCACCTTATCAAAATCATCTTATTAGAATCACCTTATCGAATCATCTTATTAGAATCACATTATTAGGATCATATTTTTGGAATCATCTTATTAGAATCACCTTATTAGAATCATCTTATTAGAATCATCTTATTAGAATCACCTTATCGAATCATCTTATTAAAATCACATTATTAGGATCACATTTTTAGAATCATCTTATTAGAATCACCTTATTAGAATCATCTTATTAGAATCATCTTATTAGAATCACCTTATCGAATCATCTTATTAGAATCCCATTATTAGAATCACATTTTTAGAATCATCTTATTAGAATCACCTTATTCGAATCATCTTATTGAATCATCTTATTAGAATCACATCATTAGAATCACAATTTTAGAATCATCTTATTACAATCATCTTATTAGAATCACCTTTTTAGAATCAAGAAAGAGACCCTTGTATGTAATGTTATTATTTCATCCAAATGAATCAAGCACAAACCATCCATACTGGCTTAGATACATTTTCAAATGATTTTCTGCCCATAAAAATAAATCTGTTAACACAAGCAATTATATCTCTTTAATAGAATTTAAAACTGCTTAAAGCAATATTAGGCAACATGGATGAATTTCAATATACTTCTAATACTACAATATCTGACCTGGTTTTAACACAGCTTTAGATGGTGTAACTTGTAACCATGGTTTACATATATCACTATCATCTAATTTCTTAATAAACTCTATAGTAACTGGTGCCTGAAAAAACAAAACATAATTCATTCAGCACTTTTAATATAATACAATCAACCTGGAATTCAATGTGCTGTGAATACTGTTATGGAATGTAAGAATGTATTGAATAAGCCATAACATATCAATGAATGGTAAAAAATAAATCGGTTTTATCTCCTACTTTTCTGCATCTAATTGGGCTAATTAAAACTGCAATGCCATGCCATGACATGCGCATAGTAGCTTTTAGCACACAGGGCATCTGTTTATTGTCCTTACCGAATGATTAAACCTTTTTATGTCAGTCCCTGCATCACTGACAAGTGACAATCAGGTTGAAAAATGTGAAGGATTATCTCGACATTTACAGGGAAAGAACCCTTGACTTTAAGGTTAGAAAGCAAGACTCAAATTGACTGAGTCGAAGCATAACAACTGAAACTGATGTGATACAAGTTTTGATAACAGTTGAACAACTCAACATCTGATTTCTTGTCAAAGAAGGAAAGGTAAGTTTTTAAAATTATAAAGGTAAATACAATCTTGACTCACCTGTCCAATATTGGAAACAACTAATTTATCAGATCTTGGTTCTATAAATTTTACATCTTTAAATGAAAACTGAAATAAAACATGCATTCATAAAATTTACCATTCAAATGTCTTAAAATATGGCAAGGTCAAGGTATCTTGATATTATGAGATTAAGACTTATTGTAACACTAGGATATGCATGAAAATCATGATGGTATGATAATAAAAATCTGTCCAAAATGAAACTGAAGAAATACATGATTCATAATTATATCACCTGAAAATAACTTCTATTTGTATCCCTAAAAATAAAGATAAATATTATAATAATATATTACTTACCTCTGTACAACTTAGTTTAACTTGAGGTAAATATTCATTCTCGATTTTATCTAATTTTTTCATAATTTCTTCATATACCTTCTTATATTTAGTTTGATCTATGACTCGTATCTAGATTAAATAGTGGATTATAGTTTGAATAATTTAATAAATACATCCTTCTTATACCTTTAAGTCATGCTGTCATCTAAAAATTTGTTTTCAGAGCAAAAGTTAAATTCATCTGTCTGTGTCACTTTTTAAAATCAAAATACAATGTCCAATTTCTAAGCAATACAACAAAAGTATATCATTGAATTATATAGTGTTGTCAGTTTCAGAACATTTTTTTAAGATGGTAAAGTAAATATTTAGATGACTACATCACTTAAACAGGATAATCTATATTAATATTTCCTTATCATCCCCTTTAAAACCTCATTTAATTTGCAGAATGTGAAATGTATTCAATTACATAATCATGATATTAAAAGGACTAAAAAGAACATAAGGAAGTAATTTTTTTACTTTTCATTGACTTCTTTTGTAAAATATGTGAATAAAAAATGGATTTAAAGATTTGATCTGCATATAGAAATTGTTATTAATCAGAAAAATATCAGAAGTCATTCATCAAAACATTACCATCTTCCAAATTACAGTGACTTCTTAAAGGGATTGTAAAGAAGTTTTCTAATATTTGTATGTGTATCGGGGACACTGATGGCATCATTTTGCACCATTCCAATTTTCAGTCAGATATCTGTGGTTCCAGCAATTCCACTAAAACTAAGTGTTTGATAATGTCACTAATTAAGAAAGCCCTATACAACACAAGCATATTTTGCGATTAGTGATGTCATCAAACACAGAGTTTTAGTGGAATTGTAGGAACCACATGGAATTTGGAATGGTGAAAATTGATGCTATCCGTCTCCCCGATACACATAAAAAATTTACAAAAAACCTCTTTATCAATCCCTTTAAATTTATATAGGCATATCAAATTACATGGGACTGACAGATCTGATGGACACGGGGTTCTATATTTTCATGTTGGTAAATACTAAATAAATAATACACTTACATTACATTGATGTAAAGCACTAACAGGTTTATGATCACTAACACATAGAGTTTGATGAGAATTATATCTTAGTTGATTAATGCCATTTCCTTTAAATAACACCCGATCACACCATGCTGGTATACGTTTCTTTTCACTACAAATTTCAAGAAAATTGAAAATCAACAGTGTTTGAGACAATGTGTAATATTATCAACGACCCTGATTGACTTGCACCATTCCACTTCCAACCACAATTCAGATATGTGTGTTGGTCCTGCAACTCCAATAAAACTATGCAATTTATGATTTTACTTTCAAAAGATATGCATTATAATTTATAAGCAGCATTCGCGATAGTCAGTTCATTTACGGTTAAGCATTTCTATATACTATTTCAATAAAAGTTTTTTTTATATTTTTTCAATATGTTGTTTCCAATGAACAAAAAAACAAAAATTTCACTGAGCTTAGAAATGAAAAATGTCTGAAATGGAAAATAAAAATTTACCTGGAATCCCAATTATTAGTACCAGTGTCATATCTATAAGTAGGTGTAAATGTTATAGGACCCTCACAATAACCACGAAATACATCACTTTTACCAAGTTGGCTAGATAACTAAAATTAACATAATATTTATATAATGAATATTGGGATAGGGACAGTGCATACATTTGTGAGGTAATGTTCATGATCCTGCAAAGTTTACTGCTATTTCTTCCATTAGTACAGAAATGTAAACAAGGGAGGTGTCATGAGTTTATGCATCATTAGTACAACTCCCATTGAAATGGCACGAAGTAAAAATCTGATAACCATAAACTCTGTAGAGTATAAACCAACAAGGTTATAAACTATATTATAAATGGGTATGACTGAAGGTCACTATCAGGAGACTAGGGCTAGAATGGGTATCAACTCAATGATGATATAATTTATAGCCAGGCTTTAACTGAATAATAAAACACTAATTTTAATTTTAATTCCCATTTAATTCCATATAGTACTATATACTTCTTAAAGATGGGTTCCTTTATTTTCATTTATGAAATTTTTGTAAAATACCAGTTTGTCTCACATGTCCATAATTAATTCATAATTAGCTTAATCAGAAGAGAATTACCATCAGAATTCCAATGAGTCAAGAGAGGTAAAAAATCTTTTTTTGTTTATCAAGAATGTACATACATGGACATCTATGGTTAATTATATGCAATAAGAACATAATGATATGATTAAGAATACCTAGTAATTCATTAGAAACATCACTTAGTCAAAAAGTTTGCTTAATTTGACTCTATAAAATAAGGAAATCCACCTTTAACAGAACATATTAATACATTACCTGATCATGTGGTAACATTTTACCATATAAACCTTCATCTGCATATTTCTTAACATCATTTATACCCAAATTAGATATTCTGTAGTTTAAATCTCCAATCCAAAATATCATACTGAAAACATAGTTTAATATACTATTAATATGTAACACATTAGCAGCATTTATGTAAGAAAGATTTTTTTCCATTGAATTCTGAAGATGCTTGATGATAAGAGTTGAATATAAAAGAGTCAAAAAGGTAAATTACATAAGTCAATGGTACTTACTCATGTTCATTGATATTTAAAGGTGGTAAAAACTGTTTAAACTTGGTTTTAGATTCAATATCTCTGTAGTCCTGTAAAGAAAAAACAACTATTTTAAAAGTGACAAAAAAACATTCTGTACCAATCAAGCTTTCATTGAAAATAGCAACTTCCAATCCTATTTTCAAATATTAATGGGGATTTGGGGATAACGAAACCAAATAAGGAGCAATATTGGTTTCATCATACCATAAGACGTACATTGAAATAAATCCTACATGATATGCTTTGATTGGTTAAAAATAACAATTTGTATTTTCAAACAGAAATGAAGCAATCTCAAACCTGATTTCTCCTTTCATATTCTTCTTGATGAGCTGCTAGATGTGAGTTGATAAAACATAGTGATGTATTGTGTAAAGTTAATCTGACAGAAACACCACCTTTATTACCCTACAAAATATATATATCTTCTCAATGAATGTGGTCAACATACAGTACCGGACCCCATTCATCAATAAATTGTATAGTAATTTTCAATGAAATTTTTTGTTTGAAACACCTCTAATGAAATGAAATGCAGTTATTAATATTAATAATAAGCAAATGATTGCTAATATCATATAGTGTACATTGGTAGAAATAGAAAAACAGAAATCTATATTTCAATTACTGTGAAATCAATATATTTGTAGGCACCACGATTTGGTAGTTTGTGGTAACAAAAATTTCTGGATTAGCTGGACTAGTATCATACTATATATACCATTATTCTACTTTTCAACATAAAGACATCACAAATAATTTTACTTTCACAGAATAGTGGTCTAAAAGTACAAATTCCAAATCTAATTGGATGCCAGATAGGGCCAATCTGATCCACTGTAACAAATGATTAGAAAATAAATTTCTTACCATTATTCCCATAATACCAGTAGCTACTGAATCAGTATCAATAAAGTTTCTATTGACAAATGGTATATGTTTCTCCTGAATAAATACTATCAATAAAACCCCTACTAATCTGACTGATTTAATCTGAAAATACATAAAAATAACCACTACAACAGCCAATTTCTCAGCCATAATGTATTCTACCTGTCTTTCACAGTTTGATGCTGAGGACTACAAAATAATAATTAAACTTGACATAAGAAGATAATAAAATATTTGTGATCCGGAATATTGAGAGAAATATTTGATATATATATATATACCATCTAAAACAATGCTAAGTTAAGGCCTAGTTTGATCACTTTCAGGATTTCCTATTTATAGTTACATTTCTTGATGCCATGGACATAGGTTTGGTCAACTGACACATTAAATGTATGTATCCATCAGCGGGTAGGGTGGTATCGGGTGGACCCAGGTATTTGGGCAAAGCCCCCCCCTCCCCCCTTCTCTCAAAATCTCAATGCAAAACATGTGTATAAAATAAGAGTTTTGTGTTGATTTTGACACAATAGCATTGGGCAAACATTGATTTGTAGACAACAGATTATTAAAAAATAAACAAACAGGTCTATAAGATATAAACAAAGAGATAAATAGTAAAGATATCTGAGTGATATCATATTTAATTTCAGATATATCTTTCATATCAATTACCTACTTGATAGGTAGGTCATACACATACCTTGTCAGAGCATTAACATGGCTCATCTATTCACCAAAAAGAGGTAGGGATCATTATTTTTTACTTTTTCTTATGATTTTTTTTACATAATTTTCAAGGCTAAGAAGTATGAAATAACAGTAAGATGTTTGATAAATCATCTTTATGATTAGATCTGAAGTGTAAACAACAAACAGAACAGAATGGGAGTGTAAATGTTTGTATTTGAGATGACATTGTAGGTTCAATCAACCTAAAACTCTTAAATTCTAATCAATTCTTATTACAATAATAACCTTGTTACAAAAGTTTTATAATCATCAGAATGAGATCAGGAATGATATTTTCAAATTTGACGTGTAAATGGGTTGATGCATACCACTGTCATGTTTATTTGATTTATTTTGTATAATATGTATTATGTGTCCCCAATTCTTTATGACCTTTGGCAAACTATCTAACAGAAGCTAGGTAAGGGTACAACAAGTTTCAGATTAGAAACAGCACCTAGGTCTGCCAGAACTGGCTTTTTAGTATCAGGGGTACTTCATTTTGTCTTTATATGTTATATCAATTTAAATCAATTTTCAGGTCACTTGAACAAGCAACAATAGATGGGGATTTAAACGAAGTTAAACTAATCCTTAAAACGCCACGATTATACCATTTCAAAGATGTTAACAATGCTCTTCTAAAAGCTGCTTATAATAACCAAGAAAAAATCATGAAGATTCTTTTAGAACATGGTGCTGACGTCACCAAAAGAGACACATTTCAGAATTGTACAGCGCTAATGATAGCTGTTAAGAAAGGTTACATCAATTGTGCTGATTTATTATTAAAACATGGGTCTAGTGTCAATGTAAGTCATATTTCATTAACCATGGCCTTGGAAAAGAAATGTTCAAACATTGCTGAAATTCTTATTGATCAAGGTACGGATATCAATGTCACAAACAAGCATGGTGAAACAACATTGCTGATAGCTGCTGATGGAGCTATGGGTTCTATGATGAAAAGATTGATAAAGAGAGGTATGAACATACATGCTGTTGATCCTAGAGATAATTCAACAGCTTTACATAAACTCTTACAAAATCTGAAGGCAGAAACACTGGATTTTGATGACTTAGATGCCATTATCTGTTTAGTTAACATGGGTATTGATGTCAATAAGAGAGACAAAGATGGCCGTACTCCATTAATGATAGCTATGACTAATGATTTTTCTAGAATTAATAAATCAAATGTTCCAGCACCAAAAGAAGACTTACAACATCATATGGCAGAAACCTTCAACAGATTTTTATCAAAATGTTATCATTTGAATGCTGGTGATAATAATGGTATTACACCATTAATGTTAGCAGCAGATAATGGTTATGAACATCATGTGAGGACATTCTTAAAACTAGGATGTCATGTAGACCAACTGTCTTCTGACCAGTGGTCAGCATTGAGATTTGCTGTCAAGTCAAATCATACCAATATAGTGAAGCTACTGTTAGAACATGGTGCCAATCCTAACCTTGGGAGTGATCAAGGAACCTTATTTGAAGAAGCTTTACATAAATGTTTCAGAATTAAAGAAGTCATAAAACTTCTACTGTTTCATGGATGTAAGGTGAATTTAAAACCAGTGAATAGAACATATATTTATGAATGTGATGAAATGGAGTTCCTTACAGATATGTATCGTTATGGCAACTGTTCCAGTCGTAGTATTACCCAATGGATATATTCACCAGAATTTGTGTATCAATGGCACTTGAATCAAGCTAAAACATCCTGGTTATTGAGAGTGTGTTCTAAACCTAGATCTCTTCAATCCTCAACTAGAATAACAATCAGGCAATACACCAGGAACACTGAGAGTTTACCAATTCCACAGAAACTCAAACAATACCTAAATTATGAATGGGACGATGATATATTTGACAAGGAAAAAGAAGAGCTGATGATGCAATCGGATGAAACTGTGCCGAAACCTGATTCTAAAATAGTTCAAAAAGCAATAGAGAAAAGAGAACATGACAAACGACGGCAGGAATGGGGTGAATGGATTGATAAAAATGGATACATATAAGCTTCTATGCCCAAATACTTTTGCGTCACTTTAGTTTCCCAATCCTTTCTAAATAAGTTCAGTGCATTAGAAATTCACCCTGTACAATTTAGACTTTATTATGTCACCATAATTCACGTGATAGCTGTTAAGGCTTTGCCCACTTAGATACAGTTGTTAATCACCACAAATAACCACACTACATGACCTCCTTCCATTCTTTCTGGATTTCATTAGTCTGCATTGCAAGTACTCCATGCACACCTCATTACTATTTTGTTAGATACACGAGTATCTCACGAACTGCGAATTGTAAGCGATAAGCTTAGTTTAACTCTTCACCAGTGACGGAGCCAAAGGAAGGACAAAGGGGCAGTGGCCCCCCTTTTTTCGGGTAAAAATCTCATAACTGGGTTAGAAACTTGGGCAATCTCAGATATTTCGTCCCCCCATCGGACGTAATTCTGACTCTGCCACTGCGCTTCACATAAGTAGGTAAATAAAATGAATATCATTTTTCTTATTTTAAACAGTTACAGTTGTCAATACTACTAACCTGTTCAGTTTTCAGAGATTTGACTAATACAGAGATCCCAAAAAAAAATTGTAAATTTTAGCCCTAAAATATTTTTGAAATGATTTGTGATATTGGAATAGAGATAGTCAATGAAGTTGGTAATTCTATTACATGATATGGCGCTATTTCGGTATTACTTAATGAGGTCATATCACTAACAATATAAATTCCTATACTATACCGTTATCTATCCTAATATCAGTTTAAACCACAATCCTTGTACCTGGTCAGTAGTCCTTCACTTTACTATAATAAGTACTATTAATATGGACCTCACCTTTCTGTATCTAGCACCAGGATGAAGATAATTTCTCACAGCTTTCTGCCATTCCACATCTTTTGTAGATTCCGAAAATATATAGGCTTGATTACTTAAATCTAATTCTTGAAACCTGAAATAATTTAAGATCTATTATGTTATAATTTATTAAAGTGATTGTTGGGAGTTTTACATCCTACTTTTCTGCATCTCATTAAGCTAATTCAAAAAGGTAAACACCATGCAGTGTGCAACTAGGAACTTTTACCAGGATAGCAGCATTGGCTTACTCTTCTTTGGCTGAACTAGTACTAAGAGTTATGTATGAAATATGATCAAAAAGGAAATTTACATCCGACTTTTCTTCCACAGTTTGGGCTAAAGGAAACAGGCAATACTATGCAGTGTGCAATGAGGGAAATTAATATAGCTATCAGTATGAAACTTACCCTAATGCGTATATATCGGGAGGATCTTCATCATAACATAACCATTCATTTAAAGGTTCTGACGGAGATTGACCATTAACATTCCAGGTTCCACAGAATATTCTACAAATACATACATTTAACATTACAAAATATTTGTTTTCACCCTTTCCTCAGAGTGGGAGGCCATGGGTTGACTATCAATCATGAAACTTCAAAAAATTATCTAAAAGTATATATTTACTGACTACCTTTCTAAAGGGATTGTAAGAAGATTTTGTAAACTTTTGAAATGTAACCTCATCAAGGCACTTATAGCATCGTTTTGCACTATTCTTGCAATTTCACTCAAATTAAGCATTAATGATGTAACAACTTTAGTCAATTAACTATTTTGCAATAGCAACAAGCATTAATTCAATAACAAAAAGAGGAAATGAGGCAAAAAGCAGCCATTTATAACCCAGATACACATCAAAAGTTAAAAAAATTTTTCTCTTTCGTTCAAACAAATGCAACCAATATCCTGAATGAAACAGGTACATAAAAACATAAAGGAATCCACTGGATCAATTTAAACACTCACTTTAAAGGATGAATATTAGTAAATTCATCTTCTCTCTCATTCATATAATGTCTAACAAATGTTTCTCTAGCAGTAACTGGTTTATTACCAACTGGCATTTCTACCCCATCACTAATACCAAGCTGTTGTTGTAAACTATCTACAGAATCTGTAAAATCATCATTTCTACAAAATATAAACAGTACCAAATATAATTACTAACAGTAAAAAAAAGATAAATCTACATTGAATAATAAAAGATAGTGGATTAACTGTCAAACACACCTACTTCGGCATATGGTTTATAACCATCTTACCCAGTTTCATGAAAATCGGCGTCACCTTAAAGCATCTAACATTTAAAAAAAACTACCCATACGATTTTAACGTGGATTTTTCCTTGTAGTTCGCACATAGCAAGTTTTATGATAATTAGTTTCATATTCAGGCACAAGGGCAAGAACTCTTCAACTAACTTTAGTTTAGTACCAAATATATCTATGACTAATTTCAGATATATTGTATACACGAAAGTCGAATACTCATTACCCATTCACGAAATTTCAAACTGAAAAATATCTGAGATAAGATTTGTATGACCTTATATCTTAGTTTTCTTTTGAAATTTATAACACATAAATATCATGTTAAAAGATATTGTCAGTAAAATATCAAATTTGCAACTTTCCAAAAAAGAAAATCTATTATGTTTGTAGAAGGTAGTAATTTTTACATTTCAAAGCTATATTCCATGAAATAAAAAAAGGTTACCTGTCTAAGTCATCTAAAGAATCTCTACTTTGTGATTTAGTTTTAAACCCTGGTTTTAAACTTAAGGTAACTATTTCATCAAAATTATCATCAAATCCACTGCCGGTACTTAATGAAGTTGCCATGGCTGAAACAATGACAAGAAAAGATTATTAATAAAGTCAAAACTATACTTTCAATTTTCGAACATTTATTTGCCTAGGGGGCATTGGCAGATCTATTAAAATGATGATGAAGAGAAATTTAAAAATAAAATTGAGGGAAGGATTGTTGTTGGAGATATGTAAATCATTGAATGCACAATTTGCATTCAGGGCTGAAGTCTACAAATTTCATTGTTCAGAAGTAGTTCTGGCTACAGCAACACCTTATAGAAGTAAATCATATCAAACAATAGAAATTTGTTTTTACCATTTGGTTTACAGCTACCCTCTAGATTCATATGTTTTAATGGATCAAAAACATCAGTTTGAAATGGATTATCTTTCTTGTTTTCACTCTTTTTAGATGATGATGAATCTGTTTGAAATGCTTTTAACCAAGGAAAAGATGATGGTATACCAAATCCTACGTTCTGAGACACAACTGAAAGTATAAACAAAAGCAAACTCTGAAGTTTGAGATTAAGTTTTTTGATTATTAGCAATAATAATCTCTCTTAAATTGCCCATATCCATTTCCTCTTACAGGTTAGGCTTAAAAGATGAAAGTTTAAAATACAAGACCACCAATTTCCTTAAGTAGAAGTGGAAATGAGTACCTTATCATAAAATTATAGAATCCATGTAAATCATAACTTCAACTAGTTATATCATGTATATAAATTTATACCTAGTCTAATAGCTAACATGGTTAGAACTAGCTAGCAGATCAGCAGTATGTGAATACAGGTTTGCTATTTTTCTTTCCATCACATTGTTAAGTTTAGACTATGTCTCATAGGTATACATATTCCATGTTGAGATCTATCAGTATAGCAAGTGGTTAGCATTTAAAAGTGATCAATCCTTACACAAAATGGAATACTTACTATCTCTAGCTCGTTTTAATTGTGCTAAGAAATCATGTGTTGACTGTTTATTTCCCAATTCTAATAATATAGGATGATCTGGTGTTCTTATACTTAAAACTATCTCTAAAATAATAGTATCATAATACAATTAAATCACATGAAATACTTTCAAGTCCCTGTGTTCTCAATCATTATCAAATCAAACTGCACAAGGAGGCTCAGTATTAAGGTGTCCTAAATAAACAATATTTTTATTAAATTATTTTATTATTAAGACTATGCCTTTCTAACATTGAGGCCATAGAAAATACATAACTACAAATACTTATTGAGAATTAAATATTAGTTATAATAAGAACTAGGGATAAAAGTCATATTTGTGTCATATAATATCTCACCTTTTTGTTGACTATTTTTGTTAGGTATATCTGAAACATAATAAATTTAGGATTTATGAGTATTTTCTATTGATAAATTCTTAAATTCATGAGGAAAAAAAGTAAGGCATGAGGTATTAATAATTGTCTAATGAAATAATCTAAATAAATTAAAAATATTCCAGATAACAGGACAAGACACTATTACAGAAGATTGTCTAGAAAACCATTATATTCTGTCTAACCACAACAAGGGATTATCAAGAGGTCAACTTAACTAAATACATGTATCAGGGACACTGCTAACATCTATTTACATAAAATGTATCAAAAACCTTTTTACAATCCCTTAAACAGTAATATATTGTAATATAGTTTTTTCCTTATTGCTAGTTTTCTATATCAGAAGATATAACACCTTTTACAAGCTTTATGAAGAGTAAAATGTTAAAGTTCTGTAAGGTCTTGTTTGGATAAGACTAACTAACAATTGATTTACCTGTAGTGCATTTTAAATCAGTTGTTATAGGAATGGTTGTTTCTATCTGTATATCTGATGTGGTAAAACATGGTATTCTATTACTAGTTAATATAAATATCCTGAAATAGTGAATTCATCAAATTTAACCATCAAATTACATAGAATAAAATTAGAAGAAACCTTGACTATATGTTATTGTTTAATGGAAATTCTACAATGACAGACTGTGAGGACCAGCTCTGATTTAGATCGTAAGGACATTTCTTTTTCCAAATGAGCAATTTTAGTGAAATTTTCACAAATCCATCATATAGATTGGGAACAATTTATGAGCTAAATGTCTGGCTGCCAACAATTTATGGCCTAAAACCGTTTTTTTCTTAGATTTTTTTTTACATAAAATGTTCAGCTAATCAGTTTGAGTGTTAAATTCAGTGATAATAGAAAATAGATAAATGGGTTGAAAGTGTCAGGGAGTGAGCAATTCTCAAAAACAAAAAATATAGATGTGAACACTTAGTTTCAAGATTAAGCAACAAAAGATTGGGAAGCTTTACTTACACAAAGTCATCTTGGTTTTGTACAAGTGCAACATATCTTGGAGTTTTAACCCAATCTATGACTAAAGCTCCATAAATGCAGTGGAATAGAATTAAGGAAAGATTGACAAAATTAGAATACAAGCTTACATTGGGGTATAGAGAAAAGATCATATTGGAATATTTTGGGAATATTGCAATTGTGACATTATAAGAATATGAAAATATTTTTCATTGTCATTAAGAGGCATGCATGAGTCCTAGAAAGTCTTTTAAATAAACAGGTTCGCCATTACAATTACATTTATTTTAGTCTCAGATACAGGAATTTTTTTAGCTAAGCCAATCAGTTATATAGCTTTCAAAGCTCAAAATTGAACCTTTATATTGCTGTGTTCCCAGAATTATCATAAAGTAGAAAATGAAATTCCTACTTTGAGGCATTTTTGAAGGTATTATGCGATTTGTGCACATTTCTAGCACTTCTGAAGACTATTTAAATATATTCAAGTCTTAAATCAACCCAAAAAATGGCAAATCTCTCCCTTGTCTGGATCTGAATGATACTTTGAAGCAAAAATTCTTAAAAGACCTAGAATTTGAAATAAACAAATGAAAATGAAGACAAATTAGCTTAAATAAGCAAAGAAAAACCCAAAGTCAAATTATAAAGGATATACAAAGACATCTGACATTTTTATCTACAGCTGATATTTTCTTTTGAACTATTTTACTTGGATCCACAACAACTGGAGCTTGGGCCTTAACATCTTCTAATGGTTGATAAAACATCTTGACATTGGTCTGAATGCCTATTCTGTGCAGCCTATTATGCCATCATTAAGTTTCAACAACAAAGTTTTCTTGGGATTTTTTTTCTTTTAAGAATCGGTTAAAGTCATAAGTGTAATGGCATAACAACTATCAGTGTAATAAAAAAGCGCAGATTTGCTTACGTTGACCAATTTCATCGAAAGGCTATGGTATTACCACTTAGTTTTCTTGTAATTACGTGTTACAGAGCTGCAGCTACAAAATAAAAATCAAATTTAGAATAGACGGTATTTTACATGTGTCAGAATAAGGTTGAAAACACTAAAGTGACATGGTCCTGTCTAACATTCAGCCCATTCACTTTAACATGCAGACTTTATAGATGCTTAGAGCTCATACAAATGAACAATTCTATAGAAATAAATATTCCAACCTTAAGCTTACAAATTTATATTTCTTTGGAACCAAAGATATTCTCAAAACATATGCAATAGAAAATTTCATTGAACCCCCTGTGATTCAGAGCTTAACCTGAATTGGACTATAGGCCATTCAATGACAGAGTGAGAGTATAATCGATTAGATCTACTGTCAGATTTTTAATTATCAACAATGACATTGCTGTACAGTAAATGAGGGATTCAACCACTGTCATTCCAATTTTGACCGACTCGTCATAACTACTGTTCATCCTAATATCAATGACCAATCCTGAATCCATGATGACGGGATGAGATCGATAGTTGGAAGTCAACAACAAAGTAAAGAAATTAGAATGTTGCTAAATAAGAGGAGTCAAGTCTTACAAAATGCATCTCTGTCTAAAGCCAGTATTACTGTTTAGATTGTACTTTAGTTCTACTACTATAAGCTATAAAAAGAGAAGAATTCAAAAAATTAAAATATCGCTCAGCAAAACCGGAAGTTGACATGAACATGCATGCAAAGCTTATAACTTTAGTTTCGTAATAAAGAGATTTTCTATACCTAAAGTAAATATTATGTACCAGTGGTTGTTATTAGATGTTTTTAATTAGAATGTCAATTGTAATTAAATTTGTCACACAACTGTGTCTTCAATCCCTTATAGTAAGAGTTTCGTAATAATAGCGTCTCGTCGCCATGGCTACTGGGTCAATTGTGAGGTCAAAGTATAATCGTTTTAATCCAGTTAACAGTTACAGTAGATAATATACATAACAAGAATTTACTCGAAGACAGTAGCCTAATTACAGGTGATAAAGTAAGTTTAAGGTATATTTATTATTTGTTATTCTCTATTTTATGCCATTTGAAGTCTTTTAATTATGGTAGCTTTATACCTATTGTATGTGTAGGCTATGCCTGAATCCAAATCGTCTATGTCCATTTTATATTTCGTTCACCGTATGATATCAATCACGATTTTGTTATTATCATATTTTAAAGACCTAGTAAAGACATGTTGGACCTAAGACTTTATGTTTCGTACCAGAAAGTAACAGGCCATGTAACTTAAGCTTGAAACTTAGGCCTGATCTTGGAAACATATACAATCAAAATCGTATTAGTTCTATGCTTGTCATTATCATGTCCTTTTCAAAAGAAAATTCTTTTGTAAGTTGTTCTAATCCAACAAGACCTGTTCTAGACTAAAACCCGACTGACTGTTCAATGAATTCTCAAATTTTCAGTGTTGACATGAAAACTATAAATTATGGAGAGTTCGAGATTCTTACCCACCAAGCATAATTTATAAATTGGTCTGGGTGAAACCGGAACATTGTTGTGGTGTTTTATACTGACCCATGAAATATTTGCGTTACTATCTGATAAAGATCTATAGGGCTTTTTGGATATAAATTTTCATAATGCAAACATTTGACAAATTTGCATTCGTTTACAACTAAAGCAAAGCACATAAAGCGTAGTCTAGTTGCGGAAGTGCTGAAAACGAGTCCTACTAGCTAGAAGGCCTAATAGGTATACAGTTATCTAAATATTTGCTAGACCGAGATATATTTCAGAACTATTAGTCTGACGTTCCGTTCTCCGACAATTAAACTTAGATACTTAAGAAGTTAAGAACCAATAAAGATAGTCGTCGCTTACGGGACGTTATTGATATGCTCGCGGGCAGATATTTAATATGACGTCACAATATGGGAAATACAAGTCATGTAACTGCACGTGAGGGGATAATAATGTTGTATTCACATTGTAAGTGAGTGTACGCTATGTTTTTATAGCTTAACGAGCAAACCCCGCACAGTCAATCATACCCTAACCACTGATTCCTCAATCTGATCACAGATAACTGTCATTTTGCTATGCCTACTTGTAACTTGAACACGATGAGATTGTACCCTAGGTATTAACATATTTAATTCGATTTCTTTTTTGCAGAGCCAGCAGTTTATAAAACCCAGATTTTTTCAGAATGAGTGCATCAAGAGAGCAAGCTAAACAATATTTAGCCAACCACAAAATACCTCAGTTATTTGAAAGTTTATTGAGTTGTCTGATGATCGAAAGACCAGCCGATCCAGTAGCTTACCTCGAGACAAAGATGGCACATTTAAAAGATGTTGGTCTCCATAATATCAACTGGGAAACATTCGTCATGCACCTTCATCCCTACCGAGATCCAGTCAGACTGTCCCTAGTTCGTGATGGTAGTAAATATGAGAGTGAAATGATGTCGTCAGGAGATAGCTCTAATAACAGTCTAAATTCTACTCTAAATACCAGCAGTGATTCCTATAAACCAGAATTATTCCAGTTGACTGAGACTCAGTCATGATCAAAACAAATTGTTACTCACAATGTGCTCCTTATTGTTCATAAATTCATGCATTTGTTAATAATTTATCTAAATCTAATCATTTAATGTATATTTTTATAAACTTTTAATTTATAACGCAATTGTTTATTTTAAATTATGATAAATGATATAAAATTTTGCCTGGGGTAACGGATCGTGATTTTTTTAAATTCTTGATCTACTCGGTTGAATCTTAGGCGTGGTTGACGTTTAACTGGTTTGACCTTCCAGTCGTTTGAGATCACAGCAGGGTTTGCGGAACTCCGATATTAATTGCATTGTCCTTGGCAAAATGCAAATGATAATGCCAATCTGCTATTTTAATGATGTTATAATCTGTAAGAGTTGAAAATTGCTTTTTCTACTTCGGGAATCGAAAAAAAATTAGTTAAATGACATTGAAGTAAGACTGGCACGGGATTGGCCGTATAAGTAACTTAAGCATCAATTTTTTATACAAAAAAGTAAAAATCATTTATTTTTGTTTGTAATTACAATAATGATTGTAAAACTAATTTATATATTTATAAAATAACATTCTTTTCTACCAGTAGCCATTTGTCAAGATGTCCAAAGTTTTCTGTGTTCTGGCTCAGTTCCGAAGCAGAAGATTAGTTTTTATCTCATTTATATTAAAAAAAAGAATGTTATGCGAGGTCTGAGATGTTGACTGTGGGTTATATTTTATTTTTGACTTTTGAATCCTCAAATAGTCATAACTGAAATTTCAACACGATAAAATTTCTAAAATGATAAGGTGTGGTCGAAGGGAGACAATAATTGCAGTTGACTGTTGTCTTGAATATTGTGATAAGGGACATAACCCATGTTATGTTTGCTTTCAGACTACATGTAAACAAGCTGTAGTCGCATGTTGCTTTCAATACTTTTTTATCGAAGTGTTTGATAAAAATAGGTCCTATTATTATGTTTAAAAAGTATGATATTTGTATTAGACACGAAATTAAGGTGTACGCCTGTGACTCAAAACACATAGTACCATAGAGTTGAAATATCAGAGAAACTATATAAGCCGATGACTAGACCAGATTACAAATTCCACATCTCAAGGGAAGTAATTTGTAATGAAATTATAAATTTCCAAAAGGCGTATATATCATTAATATATCATAAGTTTATAAACTTATAAAAGAAACGCATGTGCATTACGAGAATAATTCCTGTTATAAATCTGTCTGATCCTGTAAAAGAATTTGTTCTTTGACTTTCTGGTACTGAAGATTACAGACTGTTTAAGCTACTGAATAAATCTGTTTCTGAGCACGATTGATGGATAACAGAAAAACCCAGGGGGATTCATTTCAAGTTCAATAAAACTTTTCTTTTTGATGAACCCTGCTCTAATCTACAGCTACCAATAGATTCGTTTTAAAATTGCCGACGGTATGTCACAAGTTATTAAATTTACTTTTAAACAGATATTGGCAATTCAATTTTCTTGTAGGAACCCCGAGGAGATCGAATTGAAATTATCACAAACTTCAACTCCAATTGTATTTGCCTTAAAATTATAAAGTTTTATTTCAATCCAGTAAATTGACAATGTACTTAGACTGTGGGTTGAATATGCTGGTGTCATACCATGACGTTGATCGAGGTTGATTAAATCCTACAGGCATTACTAATATGGAATATTAAATTTCGATTGTCTGACTTCTTTATTTCGAAATAACATGATGAATACGGATCACCTTTTCACTGACAAAATAAAGTAAAAATTGTAGTGTCATTTCTCTGCATCTTATGAAGGCAAATGCAGTACAATTTCTTCAAATTGTATAAATAACTTTATTTTCCACAAACCTTTGGTTCTGAACAGCATGCAGGTAGTCTTGTTAAAAGGATTGTAGAGATTTTACAAAAAAAAAATTGTGTGTTTCGGGGACGCTGATAGCATCAATTTGCACCATTTCATTTTTCAATTAAACATCTGTGGTTCCTTCAATTAAAACAAGAAGATACAATACCTCTTTACAATTCCATTAATAAGAAATATACTTAATGATAATATCCGAGGGACTTTGAGGGTTCGTATCTGATTTAGTCTGGAAATGATCAGCTGGTTATGAAGTCTGCAACTTGTTGTGTCATTTACTATCGTTTGATAGATATTTTTTGACGAACTAAAGTTAACAAATCCAAGACATGATTTACGTGGTATTTTACACAATGAGTTTGAACATTTTTCTGGTTTAATTTTTAACTATATTTTAAGGCATGAAGTAAGTATCTTGAAATGTCTGGTGTATAGCAAAAAAAAAAAAAAAAAAATAGATGAGAATTGGGTGTTTGAATAAATCCTACCTTCGATTTCTTACTATTCTAATCAATGACCACTAATAACATTCTATCAGACGCTAATAAATGTCGTAAAGTTTAGACTATTTATATATAATGACTACAATTAAGTCATCCTATCTATGCAATGTACACAAGTTATCAAGTTTCTAACAAGCCCATAGACAGGACACAAATTATAAATCTATTTCCAGGAATAATATATACAATTACAATTCTTTTACATAATCTGATTACTTTGGAAGTACTTAACGGAACTTCACGACGGAAACGTTTCATGTCAATAAAACGGGATTCCTCCTAAAAGCATGTTTGAGTTTCTAAACTAGCTAATTGAATGTGTTGACCTTTTCTTTAACAATGAGAAATGTGTTGAATAGCGGCACTATAGGCCTTCCTGATCCTGTAAATTGATTAAGTTGGAGCGAAGCTTTTATATGATTAAATTGATTCTATCCATGTTGGCCTCTCAGACTAAATGGAGTCAAGATACTTTAAGTCAACACAAGGTAACTGGTTCTTGTCACGAATTGAAACATACCAGCTTCTACAAGATACTTGGTGTACAATGAGAGAATTGATTGTTCAATTCACTGATTTAATCAGATATTTCATTAAGGTTAGATGCTATCAACAACATAGAATAATCACCAACTCTAGTAACCATCCAAATGGCAATTCATCCAGAGTCAAGGTCGATGGTTACCCGACAAATCTGTTCTTTTCTTCAGACGGATGTGATATCGTCAACATACGAATGTTATAACGTCATCCTTACGGATGTGATATCGTCAACACACGAATGTGATATCGCAAACATACGGATATGATATCGCCAACATACGGATGTGATATCGCTCATATACGAAAGTGATATCCGTGCGGATGTCATATCGTCAACATACGGATATGATATCGACAACAATGACAAAATCACCTCCTTAATTATATCTGGTTGGAGTACAAAAACTACAGCAAAGATTCTTTATTTGCATTATGTATTTTAGTCTGGAAAGGTACTTACACACTTAATTTTATTCTACAAATCAATTGGATAGCTTCAATATAAGTTCCAACACAAAGCTCTTAAAACCTTTCAAGGTTTAGCAGATTAAATTCTGTCATTCTTTCAACCCAGTTTTATACCTATGTCAGAAACGGATACGAAGAATATTTGTTGAAAATAACGGTCTACAGATAGGAAATTCTAGAAAATTTCTGAAATTTCGTATGCTTTAAATTAGAGAAGATTGCTCTATTTCATAATCTAGGCAACTTATAGAAAACTCGATCCTTTCTATTTTTAAATCGCGAATTTGATTCTGACTTTGAAGTTAATGGTTATAATTGGTTAATCAATATAATCCCAAGTTCTATAATCTTTATAGTGTTATACCATACAGAGAATGAATGTTTCCACGTACTTAACTTTTATTGAAAAAAACTCATTTTAATGTCAGACACACAATTTTCCCAATTTAAAGAATCAATCACCTTTCACTTTACATTTAGCCTGGAGCTGTATAATGTCGTTCCAATCACCATTTAACTTGTAGATTTCTAAAGCTATTACAGTCAAGTTTATTGTATTTTTCTCTGTATGTGTTCGGTCTGAAAACGGTTTCTCTAGAACTTTGTAAAAGCAATATTTAAGATTAAAGCAAATTTTATATATATTCAATTTTAAAGGGACAGATTTGTCATTTTCGGTGGTTGATTTGGGTCTTGAAAATTCGTCAAAAGTCTTCAGAAGTACTTGAAATGTACAAAATCTCATAATTTCTTCCCCAAATTTCGATGGAGAGCTGTGAACACTAATACTGATTAGCTTAGCTAAACAATTCCCATTTCTGAGACGAGGGTACGATTGGTCAAATGGATGACCAATCTGTCTCTTTCAGTTGCCATCCTTGAAAATATGTCAATACGATACGTTTCTTATCACTATTGATTTTTGGGAGTTTGTCAATTATCCAAACCTACTAATTTTTTATCCTACACAGTTTCACATTAAAAACACCTTTGTGTAATGAAACTTATTAGTACCACATTGTTAAAATAGAACTATATACAGCCATGATACACAATACCGTCTAATTTTCTTTGTAAAAGATGTTTCTTTTATATTACACATAATATGAACATGATATTTGACGTACTTTGAAGTATAATATTTTTTAATAACTTTAATGTCCATTACGAATAGGCCTACATGTCTTTCGGAAAGCTTAAAATGAATATATATTTTTATTTAAAAAAACCCACTGAAATGAATGTGCTGATGGTAGTTTCATAGAGTGAAGGAATAAAACCACATCCACCATGAAGACATCACTCTTTCCTATATCATGACTACATCTACAACAGATGTCGGTATAATGACTAGAGCCAAATCCCCTGACCGTTTAAGTTAAAATGACGAATGCAGACATCAGATCGTTGGCCAAGTCGCTTAAGGAGGACCAATTTTATCACAAAATCATTTGGATCGGAAAAGTCACTATATAATCCGCATGCTGGTTGGGCAAGATATTTCATAGAAACAAAGTTCTGTCTCGAACTACTAGCTTCTGTATTTCGAACTAAACGTACAAGACACGAGCGTTCTTTTGACGAGAGTAATGACCTTGGCATAATTTTACGATTTTTGTAAAATGTCACCAGTCACACTAGAGACAGAAATTGAAGAGAAATTCAAGCATGCTTGACTTAAATTTAATGCCATCTTCTTCGTATGTAGTAAGAAAAATCAATTTTTCGAGCTTTTCAATAAAATCGAATGTATTTAAGTTTAATGTGTTTAATGGCCTGAAATTTTGGCCCATTACACCCTAGTTCATTGATTTTC